AAAATTCCCCCCGCAGCGGACTTTGACTTTCTCTACCTTTTCCCGTATGGCCAGCGGCGTGCCGTCAACTAAGCGTGCGTCTATCTCCGGTAAGCAACGGCTAAGTGTCAGTTGCAGTTTCCGTGCGGTTGCGGTATTAAGTAAATTGTGGCTTGCTCCTCCGTCAATAAAAATCTTCACTGCTGCTCCCTGTATTTTCCCGTGGATCAGTACCGGGCAATCCATCGCTGTACCCTCCTTATTCATCCGAGCCCGATCGATGGCGTGAATCGGTACTGTGACTCGGTGAGGGTCGGTGTGGTTGGGCGAGCAGGCAGTCTCGTCAGTAGTTGGCCCAACCTCTACTGACTGCTGGCGTTTCCCTGCCTCTGAGACTCCCTCCCCTGCTCTGCTCCGCGGCGCCTTAGCTCCTCTGGGCATTCGCTCTTGCGATGGCCCGGCCTGTTGCAAGCAAAGCAGCGCCCCTTAAATGGCGCAGCAGCTGCATTTGTCGCAACGGCGTTCACAGTGGCGTGCTCGATCGGTCCCCGAGGACGATGTCCGTGGTAGAACCCCGGTCTCGGTCGGCGTAGGATGTCGATTTTCTCGGCGAGCGCGAGAATCTCGTTGAAATTCGAGAGTCCGCGTAGCATGATCTCGTGCGAGATGTCCGGCTTCAGCCCTCTGACGTAACGGTCCACCCGCTCCGCTTCGTGCATATAGCCGACTTGCTCGCAAAGTGCGAGAAAACCGCTCGTGTAATCTTGAACCGATCCGAGCTGCCGCCAAGTACGCAATTTCTGACGCGCCGAAATAGAAGCCGCAATCGGCTCGAAGCGCGCCCGAAGCCCTGCGCACCACGCATCCCACGTGCTGTATTGGGCGGTTTCGCAGAACGAACTCCAGGTAACAGCTGGACCCGTGGGCCCTTCCTCTTGCGACGGTGGCTCGTAGGCGCGTGGCGACGTCACGATGACTCGCCACCAGTCCATGGCGGGGCCCCTTAGCAGCGAAACGGTATACCGAATCTTCGCTGCGTCCGACTCGACGTAATTCGCGTCGAAAAAAACGTTCATCGTGAAGACCCACGATTGAACCGTCGGACCTCCACGTTGGCTTGGGTCGAAACAGGGCGGGCGTTGCGGCTTGAGTGGCATTGGCGCCGTGAAGGCTTGTTCGCCACTTGCCGCTGCGAATTCCACGTGCCGACGGTCTCCGCGAGGCTCCCGTGGGCTTGGCGCGCTTCTGCTTCCTCCCATGCCAGGCATTGGTTGGGCGGCGCTATCACTGGCTACGCCCGAGCGCTGTCCCATGCTGTCGTGTGGTGTTGGTGTGCCGGACGAGATGATGATCGGCTCGTCTGATTGCGCAGGTGCATTTGTTGGTGCGTGTGGTGCTGCTGGAGTGTTCACCGAGGATTGCTGACGCGCGGAGTCACGCTCCGCTGTGAGCGTCGCAATTTCGAGCGCCGAATCTTCGAGTTGGCGCACCAGACGGTCGAGCTGCTCCTGCGTCAATGTGGCGAGCGTGAATTCGGCCATGGCGAGGGTGTCGGGCGAGCTCAGCGAGAGCCTCAGTCATGGCCGTGCGTGCTTACGAGAGAGCACTACGAGCGGCGGTGCTGTATCGCTGAGAGACGTCTACCCCCCCCAAAAATTGAGATAGTGGGGAAGCGAAGGTGTGGGTGCGGTCCGAGAAGAGATCGTAGGCTCTGAATACCAAGTGTTACGAGTGCAATTGAGTAAACGAACGAGAATTGCACTATCGAAGCAAGAGTACAATGAGCGAAGGCATGAGCGAAGAATATATAGCGAAACTACAGTGGTAACGGTAATGGACTGTGGTTGTCGCGCGACGGGCCTGGGACTGAGGTTGGGAAAAGTGTCGAAGCGGAGGCCCGGAGCGCGGGTTACCCGCCGAGCCGTGAGGTCGGGGTGCGACGTGCGAAAGTGGCGGGCGGATTGTCGATGCGAGGATGGCGAGTGGTAACGGTGCTGACTGTGGTGCTACAGTGATGTACGCGTTGAGCAGGGATGCGAAGTAAGGAAAAAGAGATTTTCCGTACACTTCTCAACAATTTACAGTCGTAGTTCACGTACGTGTTACATCTGCAGCTAAGGGTGTATTGTATCATGGTGTCCACGCGTGCAGCAACTTGCACCAAGTGAAGCCGTTCCCAGTTGGCTTGTGTGAGGCGGATGTTTTTCCGCCAAAATCCTCCTCCGATTGATCCGAGTGCGACAACAAACATACATGGCTAGTAACCAGATGCTCCTCCACCGTCCACCTTAGTATTGCCGGCTCACAATCGGCCTTCCGGTTAACGGTTTTCCATCGTTTCCGGGGCCCCCCCCACCGAAGGTGTTTTGTCTTGGCAGAGAGAGCGGGGTCCGTTCACATTCTAGAACACTCGTGCAGCTACTATTTGAGCGAGGATGAATAAGTTTATTCATTCACGATTCGCTGTCAATCTGGAAACGTTACAGCTTCACCGTAGCGCATTGGTCCCTTAACTACTACGAAAGAGGGCCAGGGCCACGCTTGAAGGGATCCGACTGCGGGTCCCCTGCTCCAGTCTGCAAGCCCCGTTAGTCCGCCTGTACTAACCTCGTCAGGACGGACTCTTTCGTCCGGGCCTGATTTCCAAGTCGCACCACCATATTCAACATCTTTCTGGTTTCCAGGGCACAGGATTTGAAGGGCAGTACTAGTAAGTTGTACGACCGACGCTTCTCAATCCGTGACGGGTTTACTCAGCGACTCGTCAGTAATTCACCGCTTTGGCCGCTTAGGGAAGTCTGCGTGCTGGGGGTGCTCATCCACGTCTGGAAGGATTTTGTAACTGGCAGTTACCAGCTGCTGCGATACACGGCGTGCCGCACGGGTCTCTTCAAAAGCTCCACCAGAGTCTGCGCAGCCGCCGGGATTCCCCCCACTGCCTGCCGCGCGGTCTGTTCGGACTTGCGATCGCTGTGCTGCTGCTGCTGCTGCTACTGCTACCAGCCATTGTGAGCGCCAGCGGTCGCGATGCACCGCCTCCGACGTCGCCTCAGGCCCGCGCCAGAATCATCATGTCTCAAGGAAGAGTGGCGTGCGTTCGAAAGCCCACGTGCAAGTGCAACTAGTACTAGTACCACTACCACTAGCACCAGTTCTGCTAGTAGTACTACTACTAGCAATCTTACCCCGCGGCGGCGGCGTGTGACGGCAGCGTCGGCGGTGCGTCTTCTGCTCCTCACGTCATGTCTCGCGGCCGTCTCTTTCGCTCGCACTGCCAGTGCCGGACTTCAGAATTATGCTGTCACTCTCCACCCCTCCCAAGGTACCACTACTACTGCTTCTCTCGTCTCTCGTCTCTCGTCTCTCCAACCCTAGCGTCATGAGGCTTCGTGGTGGTGGCATCTTTCCCATCGTTCTTTCACATCATTCAAGGCCTGTAGTTTAAGGGTTCCACTGAATCGCGTTCCTGCCTGCCAGGCAGCCGCACCCACCCACCGGCTGTGCTGGCGTCACATGGTTACTCACTCACTCACTCTCGCCCACTCACTCACTCTCACTCACTCACTCACTCACTGCTCATGATGCTCCCGCCTCTCTGTTCCTCTCCCCCCGCCCGCGTAGCTCAGTTTTTGTCCTCCGTTTCCTTCCGCCCACTCTGGTTCTTCACTTGACTTGAGACGACTAAAAGAATCTCCTCTCTTTTCTTCTGTCTGCTGTTTCTCAGTCTTCTCAGTCCCCACCCCACCCCACCCCATCCCACCCCACCCCACCCTACCCTACCTCACCCCACCCCGTTACAGTCCCAGCGCTGCAGGACTGCAAGGCCTCGTGGGGCGTGGCGATGCAATGGGATTTAGGAAACGACTGCATGACGGCGTACTTCGACCCAATCGAAGACCCCTGGCCCAAGCCCAGAGGCATTCTCTGTGATGACGACGGCATGGTCATCACAGTGTGAGTGCATGTGCATGTGCACCTTACTGGCCTATCACTTCTTCTCCTGAGGGACCTTCGACTCTTTTCGAGTCAACTCAGAAATAGTCTCTGTCTCCGTCTCAAAAGCCGGTTCTGTGCTATGACTCTATAAGAACGTCATGTTCGGTTGTACTGTGAGTGATGGGGCTTGCTAGGTACGTGCCAGTGCGGAAGTGCCAGGCAGGCAGGGTAGGGTACCGCAACATCCCCTTCCCTTCCCCCCTTCTTTCTCCACCCTTATCCCTCTCCCCCCTGTTTTTGTCTTGTTCTTATGTTCCTGCTTTTGTAATCGCATCTTGTCATCCTGGGTGGGTCGCTGATGCTACAGTGGCATTGGCATAGACTCGCCCCTCATGCTCTTCCTTGCTCTGCCTATCATTTATCTTCCCTGTCACGCCATCTCTGACAGGAGCATGTCAAACGAGCATTGAGTCACCTCGTGCTCTTCTCTCCGCTGCCTTGTGTCATCCCCACAGGAGCATGCCAAACGAGCAACTCCAAGGGTCCCTACCTGCGTCGCTCGGCTCCCTCGCTCAGCTTGTCTACCTGTACGTGCCGTTTGAGCTACATTGTTACTCGTACCTGTTCGGGTCACTTCTGTTGAGGGGGGTCCACTGGAGGAGGGGGGGATTGAGGTGCCACAACAGTCCTCTGGTTCCCTCCTTCAGTCGGCCTGTGCGGTTCGAGTTACACTGTCTGCTCTGCACAGACCTGTTCCGTTCTGTTGAGATGAGACGAGAGCACCCACAGGGGAATTGCCACAGGGGGCTCGCATGAATGGAAAAAACAATTGCGCTGCCCTGGAGAAACTGTGCGGGAGCACACCAAATTCTTCTGAAGCACACCCGTTTACAGGCCCTGCTGGTGGTGGCTGGTTGGGATTTCAGTTAATGGTTGGCTTGACACACTCTTTGCTTGGGCTCTCAGTCAACATACTGTAACACTTGGCCCTGAGTTATGCACGGGGCTTTGTTCTCTACCAGCAGCTAGTAACACATGTACGGTACCAACCAACCAACCAACCAACCAACCAGCCAGCCACTGACATGAGCTCGCCACCACCGCTGCATGCTGAACACTGTTGTGTAACGATCTGTCACCACCACCTTGAATGTGCCCCCTCTGTCCCCTTCTGCCCCTCTGCTCCCCTCTGCCCCTCTCTTCTCCCCTCTGCCCCTCTCTGCTCCTCCTTGCCCCTCTCTGCTCCCCTCTGCCCCCTTTATCCCCCTCTACCCCCCACTGTCCCCTCCTCCCCTCCACCCCAACCCCACCCCACCCTCCCACTTTCCACTGCATCACGTGCAGGCAGTTGCATGGCAACTCGTTCACAGGATCCGTCCCAGCGACCATCGGACAGCTCACGAATCTCCTCGTCCTGTCCGTACCCAATCCACCCACCAGCACCGACCCGACCAGCCTCTCTGTTTGTCCGTCCGTTGCTCACCTTTCTCCGTTCCGATCACCAGCAGCAGCAGCAGCAGCAGCAGCAGCAGCAGCAGCACACCACTATCGTGCTACCAGAAACCAGTACCCTGTGCCGTGATGTGACGTGCTTGACATTGGATAACCAGAGAAGGCCTTGACTGCCTCTCTCCCTCCAACCCCATTCAACGGCTAACCAGGTCTCTTCAAGGCAACAAGCTCACAGCCATTCCTGACTCTCTAGGCGACCTGACTCAGCTCAGAGAGCTGTGAGCACTTTGTTCACTGCTACACCTACCAGTGTTTTCACTCACCTGCTGCTACAGCTGACTTTTCTCTCTTTCTACTGCTGCTACTGCTGTGTAGATACCCCTAAGCGTCCGTCCCTGCACTACCCTCAACTGACCTTGTTTTGTTGGAATTTGAACCCTGACTCGTTTCCCCCACTGCCCCCTCCCGTCCCGTGTTTCGCCCCAATCCCTATCCTTACGCCTGGCAGCAATTTGGCGAGAAACGAAATAGCCGGCACTGTACCAGCATCACTTAGCAAGCTGCAGGCTCTAAACCAACTGTACGTACGGGTTTTACATTGAATCATCTCTGGCCGACCTCTCCTCTCCTCTCTCCTCTCGCCTCTCTCACGACTTGAGGCGGGTCAAAGCTAGACTGTACGTAGGCGTAACTATTCATTATTCAAGGCGTCTTTGGCTGGCCTCGCGTTTTAGCCACCTCAAAAGTGCCCCAAAGTGAGACTGTATGTAGGTGAAAGCACATCACTCGAGGTGTCTATGGCTACCCTACCCTACCCACCCCTTGCCTTTCTTTTCTCCTCCCTCTTCATGCCTCTTCCCTCTGCCGCTCCTCAAAACGCACCACTACGTGCACACTTGTGCATCCACGCACACACACGCACACCCACGCACACGCACACACGCATTAGCTCACACACCCACGCGCACCCACACGCATTCAAAGCGATGTGCAGGGAAAGAAACTCTCCATGCCCATGGTGGCCCATGCCATCCCATGTTGTGCAATCTGCTATGCCTCATCCACACCACATCAGGTCCATGGGCTCAAACCAGCTCTTTGGGTCCCTCCCAGCGGGCCTCTCGTCATTGGCCCTGCTCACGTTGCTGTGAGTCTCTCTCCCTCTGTAGAGCAGTGTAGGCACCATAGGTTGTTTTGTTGGTGAGCTCATTGGTTAGCATTTCGTGATCTAGGTGCTCATTTCGTAGTACAGACTCTGCAGCAGCAGAAGGCATGGCCTTTGAGACTGCTCTGCTGCTCTGTGTGCACAGTGTGGCGGTTCTCCTTTTCCGTTTGCTGCTGCCCTGCCCCTGCTGCGTCGTCTTTCTGCCCTGCACTGAGTGCACTGCACTTCGCTCACCACCCCACTGCTCTCACTGCGCTGTGGAAACTGCTGCTTCGCTCACTGCCTCACATATCATTCCGTTCTCTTCCCCCCCCCCTCCCCCCCCCCCTCCCCCCCCCCCCTCCCCCCCCCCTCCCCCCCCACCTCCCCCCCCCCCTCCCCCCCCCCCCCCCCCCCCCCCCCGCTCCACTGCCTCTCCTCTCCCTTCCTGGCAGGGACGTCTCGAGCAACTATCTCACAGGGCCCATGGTGGATCGCTCGAGCATGCCCGGCGGCACGCGGCACGACTACAGCAACAACTACATGACAGGAGCGCTGCAGCAAGCCCAGTGCAACTCAGGCGATCTTCAACTCCGCATCAACTGCTTCTCCACTGCTGCAGCGGTCTCGTGTGCGCCGCAGCGGCCCGTAGCAGTGTGCGAGGCGTTTTGCGGGCTGGTTGTGAGTAGCCCCACCACGCCGGTTTGTTCCGGCCTGGGAGTCTGCTATTTGGAAGGGCCGAGCCAGGTTCCCACGTGCCTGTGTCTGAATGGAGCCGTGCAGGATGGACGGATCTACTGCGCCCCTCCAGGTACGTGAGCATTAGGAGAAATACGAGTAGAATCAAGAGCAGTAATCAGTAGCAGGAGAAGATTTAGCAGGGGTGGCTGCAGGAACACTAGCAGCAGTCGCAGCAAATGCATACAACAACCACATCTTGCTTCCACTAACACTTTGCATGCCAATGTTCTTCTATAATGCTTTTTCTTTTAATTTCCTCCCTCTCCTCTCCCCTCCTGCCCTTCCCTCCCGCCTCTCTCTCCTCTCCTCTCCTCTCCTCTCCTCTACTTCCTCTCTTCCACCTTCTCTCTCCCCCCACCTCTCTTCCCTCTGATCGTAATTCTGCTGATCGTAATTCTGATGCCAATCGTTGCTGCGCGCAGGGTCCGTTGGGAGAAAAGAGCTGGTGGAGCCAACCTTTCTCACCAAGGGCGTAGTAGCAGCGACAGCAGGCGTGTTCACTGCGGACACTCTCACCCTCTTCTCGTACCGAACGGTTTCCACCGGCTGTGGCACCGACCTGCCATTCCGAGTCGAGTTCACATTCTTCATGCTCCCTACCTCACCAACGTATAAGGGAGCCAACGGGCTGGCATTTGTGATTTCGGCGACGAATGCGGCCGGGACTGGCGGGGAGGGGGGAGGGGTGGGGTACGCTGGCATGGACGCTCGGAGCATTGCTGTGGAGTTTGACACGTTCACAGATGCAGCGCATGGGGACATGCAGGGAGATCATGTGGGGATTAACACCAGAGGCAGCGCCACTTCCATCAAGGCCGTCCGATCGCCCTTCCGTCTCAACAACCAGAAGGCCTACACGGCATGGATTGACTACAAGCCGGGAAGCCCCGGAGGCCCAGGAACGCTGAGTGTGTATCTCGCTGGGGATGATGTGAAGCCAGATGTGCCTCTAATGGAGAGCCCTCTGTCGCTGTGTGACGTGCTGCAGCCGACGCCGGCTAACAGGTTCTTCTACTTTGGGTTTGTGGCGTCCTCTGTGGCTCCCTTCCAGCAGCAGCACGCCATCCTGGTCTCCTTCGTTGAAACAGGTGAGCCTAGCTGCTGTGGCTTGTGGAGACTGTCTCCTTTCTCCTTTTTCTCCCTCACGTTGGGGATCCCATTGCGGCTGGATGGCTTGGCTTGGTGTGACCCGCCACCCATTCGGTTGGTTTCCAGCTGTTGCATCGATGTCGTGTCTGTTTCTATCCCATTAATGGATGAGTTTGCCATTTGTTGGGATGGGATCACTCGCTCATTCGTCGTGTCTGTCTCTTTCATGCTCTCGTGGATTCACTCTCTGTGTCGCTCTGTTTCCATGCTGTTTGTTGTGCAACGCTCTCCGTCTCCTCCGCAGGGTTGACTTTCCCCACATCCCGGCCAGTGACCATCACTCCAGGTACACCAGTGCATGCAATGCAACTTTGTGTTGCAGAGATTTCTTTCTGTCTTTGTAAATGCAAACTCCAATGTTTATTTAAGCAGCCTCAAAGAAAACCCTAGCTCACTCCCAGTTCTCCTCTCCCCATTCTCCCCACCCTTCCTGCCTCCCACCCCCCACCCCGCCTCTTCTCCCTCCGCTTGGCCCACCTCGCAATCCGTTTCCCTTGTTTTCCCCTTGTCCTGCCTTCCCTCCCTTCCCCTCACAATGCTCCACTGTTCTCCCCTCTTCCATCCTTCCCCCCCTCCCCTCCCCCTTCCTCCTTCCCCCACCTCCCACACCCTCCCCCTCTCTCCCCCCCTTCCCCCCTTCCTTGGAGGCAGCCTATGGATTGGCGGTTTCGGCAGCAACGTTCCGCCCAGCAAAGGCGAGTCCGTTCACGCGGTACGTGAGTGCGGCCTACTCGCTCACGCAGTCGGGGCAGCAGGACGCCTGGCTCCTCCGCGACCCCTCCTCCTGGGATGTGCCGTGGCTCGCCTGGCCCGTCAAGGACCAGGACGCCTGCAGTGAGTGGCATGGGGGTTGTGGGGGGTGGGGGGGAATGTGGGAGGGAATGAGGGGAAGAGGGGAGGGAGGGAGGGAGGGAGGGGGGGGAAGAGGGGTGCAGGGAGGGTGGGAGGGAGAGAGGGAGGGAGGAAGGAAGGGGAGCAGGGTAATGGGTCAGTGCTTTTTCACGTTGTTTCAGTCTAGATTCTCTCTCTAAGTTCTAACACGTCCCCAACCACCTTCTTCTCTTTCGCTATGTACCCTGCACTCTTTTTCTCCCCACCATCCCTCTTTTGAGCCGACTCAAAAGCAATCTTCTCTTTCGCTATGCACCCTGTACTCTGTTTCTCCCCACCATCCCTCTCCTCTCCCTTTTCCCGCCCAGATGCATGCTGGGCGTTCGCAGTGGTGGCGAGCATAGAAGCAGCATACGGCATTGCAGAAGCAAAAGCCGCGCCACAACTCTCAGTGGAGTCGCTCTTTGCAGCCATGGGGCTCACCTCTCAAGAAGGGAAGTGCAGCGCTGGAGGCTCTCCGACTGATGCCTTTGAGAAGCTGCTCTCTCTGCCCAAAGGGGGAGTCGCTCTTGCTGTCAACGCCACTGGCACAGCTGGTGCATTGCGTTCACGTGCAACTAAAAAGCCTGCTGTAAGTGCCGTGCCAGTGTGCTTCTGTTCTGTGTCAGTGCGTTCTGCGAATTCTTGAAAGTGACTTGGGTACGGACGGAAACATGGACAAAGGAATGGCTGTGAGAGGCTGGCAAGGCATGTGTATAAGGTGTGCGAATGATCGTGCAAGGCTGAACGTGGGCAAAGGCTGGGCGACGTATGTTGCATTCTCACTCTTAACCTGACGATTGTCTGACGTTCTTCCTGTCCATTTATTCCACATATAAATCTGACTACATGCCTTCACACCCTTAGCTTTCCTTGTTCCATCCGTGACCATCCATCCAAGCCAAGTACTATCCCAGCCATGGCTTGGAGCCTATGCAGTTCTGTGTGAATCCGTGCCCTTATAAAGACATAACATAACTGGATATCTGTGTGTGTGTGTGTGTGTGTGTGTGTGTGTGTGTGTGTTTTTTTTTTTTTTTTTTTTTTTTTTTTTTGTATATATATCTCTCTACATTCTTCATGGTTTTTGATCGAACATGCATGCAGGTCAAGTACTACCCCATCCAAGGGTTCGAGCGCACGCGGTTCAAGGGGTATGTGGGGCTCATGCTGGCAGTGCAGCGGCAGCCAGTGGTGGTTCACATCGAAGCCTCTGCTGCCACATTCGCCAAATATGACGGGGTGAGTGCCAGTCATGTGTGCGTGTCATGGCGATGACACGCACCTAAGAAAAAATATATGCTGGCATGACCACAACACCCTCCCTCAGTCAGATTTCCTCGTTTTGCGGTTTGTGCTTTCGGTGCTCTTAGCTAGACATGCGATAATTTTGTCTCTCATTGTTTTGCTGTTTGTGCTTTCCGCACTCTCTGCTAAACATACAGAGGTTTCCTCCCTTATTGGCCTGCTGGTTGTGTTCCCTGTGCTCTGTCCCATGCCATGCCAGACATACAAGTACCAGGACCCAGCTTGCTATACAGGCGAGCTGAACCACGTGGTGCTTGTTGTTGGCTACTCCGTTGCCGTGGGGGACAGCGTGCAGCGCCGCATCCCCCCTCCGTTCTGGATCGTCCGCAACTCATGGGGTGTGGGGTGGGGCTATAATGGCCACATGCGCATGGATATTCAGGGAGGGGACGGTGTGTGTGGCATCAACGTGCTGCCTGGCATCTACCCCATTGTCAAGAGTGAGACATCCAACCCATTTGCCATAGGTTGAGGCATCCATCTACCCCATTGTCACAAGCAAGGCCCATTAAAATCACTTGTGAAATCACCACTTCATTGTGCCATGTTGGAAATCTGAAACTGTCTCAGAATCAGTCAACTTTGAAACCACTGCTTGCTTGATGCCCAGCCCAATCCTCTACCAACTTCTACCAACCAATACAATCTCCACGTTGCATGCAACCCCTCTGTTTCCCCTGTAGTTCCCGGGGATTCATGTGGCAAGAAAAGTTTCAAGGTCGATCGAGACGGGGAACCAGCTTTCAACCCATGCGGTCGCTTCACGTGCAAGGCCCTCGCTAAGAACAAGGGCAACTCCTGCAAGTGCATCATCCCCAAGTCACCCATACAGCCCTTTGTGGAGGTCGCCAATGGGTTTGGCGCCAAGACATGTGTCTATGGTGAGACATGCGTGCGTGTATGGTGAGACATGCGTGCGTATATGGTGAGACATGCGTGCGTGTATGATGGGACATGTCTTTGCAGTAGGATGCAGCATACATTGTATTGCGGCACATAATCATGACTCTCCACCACAGCACAATGCGAAAAGTCCATGTTTACAGAACGCTCCTAGCTCGTGTAGCCCGAAAAGAAAACCACTCATCCCTCCAATCCTCTCTTTTCCCTTCACGATTGGGGCAGTACATGTAACCCATGCCGTGCCGTGTCGTGCTTGATGCACCCATACTCACTCAACCTGTACCTCCACCGCTTACACTTGTTGCCAGTGGACGTGTGCGGGTCTTCCCCCACTTTAGAGAAATCTACTTTTGAGGCGCCTCAAAAGTAGACTTCTTGCCAGCGGACGTGGTTTGGTCTTCTCGCATTTCAGGAAACTCAGTGTCTCCCTCTGCCGCCCCTCTCACACTTTTCTCTTGTCCTCCTTTCACCACCCATTACCCGGCATAGCAGTGGACGTGTGTGGGTCGTACTTGATTTTTGCCTTCATCCTCCCCATCATCCCCCTCTTACCCGGCATGGCAGTGGACGTGTGCGGGTCATACTTCAAGAACCCCTGTGCCGTGGGCACATGCATCAACGATGGCAAGGGCTCCTACTCCTGCATCTGCCCTCCCAACCACGTCCCCAGCCGAACCATTGATGACTTCCCCACCTGCGACCCAGGTACGGTTAAACGCTGCTCCCTCCCCACCAGCCTGTCACCCCCCAGATGCTTCTATTCCAGTCCCCTTGCACACAAAGGTATTGTATCTGAGTGCACTTTGTTTTTCGGGGGGGGGAGTGGGGGGGGGGACGTTAGGACCATGCTTACGGTCATGACGTTTGAGGCTTCTGAGAAGCCAACAGGACCCCTGTTGCACATGCATGTGCCTAGCAACAGGCGTGCGCGTGTTGCATGGAGGAGAAACAACAAGTGTGGTGGTGTCTGTGTTTCTTCCCGCTCCCTCCCTTCTCTCCAGCCGGCAGCTTAGCCACCAGCTTGGCAGTGAGTGGCAGCAACTGGGGCTGCGCCGACGTTCATCCCCTCATGGGCCTCACGCTCGCCCAGTTCACGCAGCAAAACGGGGTGAGTTGTTGTGGGGCGCGTGCATGCATGCATGCATGGGAGAAGGAGGAGGGTGGAGGGAATGGGGGGAGATTGTGGGTCGAGTGAAGGGGTCGGGCAGTGGTGGGCATGCGGAACGGATGTGTGTGTGTGGAAAGGGGGAAGGCTGTGTGAAGGGCAGTAGAACAAAATAGCGGGTTTTGTGTTTGTGTGTTTACTGGAACGGGGGGAGAGGGGGGGGAGGAGGAGGGAGAGAAGGGAGAGGGAGAGGGGGGGGAGAGGCGGGGTTCTCCCACCTAACCCAATCTCCCGCTTTTGCTGACTTGATGTGTGTGCGCCATGCAGGCAATCAACTGCAACAAGCCGCTGCCACTGAATGACTTTTGAGACGTCTCAAAAGTAGTAAACTAGTCTCTCGCTGCGTTTGACTTGATGTGTGTTTGTGTGTGTGTGTGTGTGTGTGTGTGTGTGTGTGTGTGTGTGTGTGTGTGTGTGTGTGTGTGTGTGTGTGTGTGTGTGTGTGTGTGTGGGCGCGCGCGCGCCATGCAGGCTATCAACTGCAACAAGCCGCTGCCTTTGAATGCCGTGCTCCAGCTAGGCGGCTCTCCTGTCGTCCCCTGCACTGCCTTCTTCTACGCCCTCACTGTGAGCACTCGGGCTTGGTCGATCATTTCTAAACATAGCTGCAATTGAGTAGATCATGGGAGCCTGCGCACTACCACTAAACGGCAGCCTGGGCACACGGACAGGACTACCACTAAATGGCAGCTTCAAGGATGACAGGACACTTTTCTGTGCTGTCAAGGCTATTGGGTGAGTGGGGTAAATTTGAGATCACGGGGGGGGGGGGGGGTTGCAGGTGCTGGGCTTAAAGCCGGCAGCCCAAATTGTTCATGCTTTTAAAAGTTGACCAGAGGGAGTTTTTCTGGTGTAGGCTTTGGCGAGAGTTCGCAATTTCGTCTAGGTTCGTTTTTTTCGCGAGACCCAGCCAACCCTCGGTTTTCCCCCTGGTGAGTGAATCTGTCTTCGAAAGTCCCAAATTGCAGGTGCGTGACTTTCAAAAGCTTGGACACTCAACTTCGTCAAGTTTTAAAAACTTGACCCTCGCGGTCCGCAATTTGGGACGCGGGCTTTAAGGGGCTGCAGGCAAGCTTTGTCATTCGAGTAAGTTGTGCATGGCAGCATCGCAATAATTATTTGAACGATATGGTTTGCATGGCAGACTGTAATGAGCTACGTGTGTCACAGCATCACAATGACCGCTCTTCCTTTCCTGCCTGAACGAACTAAGCATGGCAATCATGGGCATCACATTAGCATCACATCAGCGCAGCATCGCATGCACCTTGCATGTTGAAACCCCAAGAGGCAATCATCCATCTCTAAACCCCTCTCCCTTTGTTCACCCCTCCAGGGCGACACGTGTGAGTCCATCGCCTGGAGCATCAAGCGATCCGAGTCGGACCTTCTCGAGCTCAACCCCGGGCTGAGCTGCCAGCAGGGTATCAAGGCGGGGCGGTCCGTGTGCGTTGAACGCAACCCCGAGTTCGCATTCAAGGTCCCGGAGTGCCTCAAGTTCACCACGCTCACAGCACAGGACTCGTGCGAGCGGCTGCTGGAGAGGACGGGAGGAACCACATCGGTGGGGGCGTCTGCTTGGGACGAG